TCTCCTTGATCTGTTCCCTCTTTTTCTCTGTTATTAAACCATTGTTTACTGGAGCTCTTTCTCCCCCTGTGAAATCAGGTCTTTTGTGTGCTTTTGCCCTATACTATATAGATTTAATGGTTTCTCAAATTGTGGGTCTTGACCCAAAAGGGAGTTGCAGGGTGGTCGCAAGGTTTATTTTAGGGGGGTTGCGGTATTGCCACCCTTACTTCTGCATTGCTGCCTTCAGAGCTGGGTCCTCAGTCAGCAGCCGCCACTCTCCAGCCGCCCAGCTCTGAAGGCAGCAATGCAGAAGTAAGGGTGGCAATACCGCAACCCCCCTAAAATAAACCTTGCGACCACCCTGCAACTCCCTTTTGGGTCAAGACCCACAATTTGAGAAACGCTGATCTCCCCCGTGAAATCTGTATAGTATAGGGCAAAAGCACACAAAAGACCTGATTTCACAGGGGGAGACCAGATTTCACAGTCCATGACTCATTTTTCATGGCCGTGAACTTGATAGGGCCCTATTCATACACAGGATTCAGCCCCTTTGGGATCTGGCACTGCTCCCTTCACCTGGATCCCAAATTTCTCATGATGTAGGAGAAACAAGTAAATATAACATTGAACCATATTCATGTTATTTCATTTCTGAATCCTCGTTCGAAACTTCTTTAGCCCTGGACAGTTCCCACTGCCCGTCCAATGGTCCTCTACTGTACTTTTGCTGGGTTTTACATTGGCTGCTAAGTGGCCAGAGCCCGTCCCCTCTTACAGTTACAGAGACACATCTCGATTCTCTGCCTGCCTCCCCTCTTGGTACCTTTGAATTTCCTCAGGGTCTCCTTTAAGGCAATAGTTTTTTGAGAGAAATCACTGAGTCTCTTTTCCAGCTCAAGAGAAATCCCTGTGGGCTGCTGGAACATCTCGCACCTGGAGAGAGAAAACTGTCTGAAGTGAATTGTATTAATTACATTAATTACTCCTTATTATGCATTACTTAATTGCCTTTTAATATGAAGCTCATGCTAGTCAATGCTGCTGTACTGGGGCCCATGGAGAATGGATTCCTCTGTGTCCTACCCTCACAGAAGGTGACACCGAGGCATTAGCTGTGCATGCTTCCCCCACAGTTATGATCCATCCTTAGGCTACAGAGACTATTAGGCCCAGATCCACAAAGGGATTTAGGCACCTGAGTCCCAGATTTAGGTGGCATTGCAACCCCCTTTATCTGCCACCTAACCCTGTAGGTGCCTAAGCTCACTCAACACCTACCTTTTAGCCACAACCCACAGTCAACCTGTGGAACTCTTTGCCGGAAGATGTTGTGAAGGCCAAGACTATAACAGGGTTCGAAAAAGAACTAGATACATTCATGGAGGATAGACCCATCAATGGCTATAAGTCTGGCTGACAGGGATGGTGTCCCTAGCCTCTGTTTGCCAAAAGCTGGGAATGGGCGACAGGGGATGTCTCACTTGATGATTGCCTGTTCTGTTCATTCCCTCTGGGGCACCTGGCATTGGACACTGTCGGGAGACAGGATACTGGACTAGATGGGGCATTGGTCTGACCCCGTGTGGCCACTCTTATGTTCTAAAAATGCCATGGGTTCTAAAAATGCCATGTTTCTGCCTCTGGGCACGGGCACTGTTACCTCCCAGTAGGCATCTCCTACCTATGCTGCAGTGCAATCCTCAAATCGGGGAGGTGTCCCCCCACCTATCTTGCCTGTAGAGGTGCTGAGATGAAAGGCTTCTTATTCCATCCCCAGCATCCTGACACAGCCAGTCCCTTAGAGGTAGAAGCATTGCTTAATTTGTGCCAGGGCTTGCCAGGGCTTAGTGCCAGCACCTCTAGGCTTGGTAGTTCCTAGCCCCGGCACCTTTAGGTTGGCAGTTCATAGCCCCGGCATGTCTAGGCCTGGCAGTTCATAGCTTTGGCACCTCTGGGCCTGGCAGTTCATAGCCCCGGCACCTCTAGGCCTGGCAGTTCACAGTCCCGGCACCTCTGGGCTTGGCAGTTCATAGCCCCAGCACCTCTGGGCCTGGCTAGTTCACAGTCCCAGCACCTCTGGGCTTGGCAGTTCATAGCCCCAGCACCTCTGGGCCTGGCTAGTTCACAGTCCCAG